AGCTCAACTTTCCGAAGACCAGGCTCGGTCCGATGACTTCGCATCCCAAACGTACCCCACTTCGCCTTCGGGCGTTGGCAACCCCGAAGCAGCACCCAACCATCTCGACCCCGTGGACCCCGCCTAGCTAGCATTTCATTCTGTCTGTATTTGGCTTCATTATTCATGCAGTAGTAATACTGTAATCTCTTCTGCTTGCATTCTTCGCACACTATACTTTCACAGCTCATAACACTTAGTATCAGAGCTACCGTAAACCCCCGGATACACAGCCGTATAGAAGACCCGGGGGACTCTCTAGAATTGCTTGAAAAAATGCTAGGGTGGACATCATGGCGGTTGCAAATTTTTAAGACCCGGGGTACACTTATTTATCATATATCAATCTGTTATTTAGGGTGTACAAATCAATTTGGGGAGGGGGGGTCTTATATTCGTAACGAAAAACAGCATTCGCGTGAGAATTTCGTGCGAGCGGCGCGTCAGATTTCTGTCATAATTCGAGTCTGACACAATCAAAGTGTCAGAATTCGAGTCAAACACAAAATGCATGTCAGAATTCGATTATTTGCCAGTTAAAACGGACTCACAATAGCAATAGCAACTACACTAACATAAAAGGGGGGTCTTACTATGATGATTAGAGGCCAAGAGGGGGTCCTCACAATATCTGCCACAATAAGAGTCCCCCTACCCGTTCAAGAGTCCCGGGGGACTTTCTTACTGGCGGGTCTTCTAGCCGGAACTATATGGTAAGCCTTGAAAGTAAGGGGGAGGGGGGGGGGGGGGGGGGGGGGGGGGGGGGGGGGGGGGGGGGGGGGGGTGGTGCAGGGCCTCAGAAGTCAGGAATTCTACCGGTACCTTGAATTCCTAAAGTTTGACCCTGGTTTTTTATCACGACCCTGATGCATCAGCCTTTTTATTTTGACGACCCTGATGTTTCAGTGTTTTATAATTTCAAACTCTGTTTTTTCAGTGTTTTGAATTTTCAGGCACTCACGAATGACCGTAATCACCCGGACATACCACCCGCCGAAATTGAAGACCCCCCGGGTGGCTTGTGCGGGGTGGGTGCTATAGCGGACCTCGTTTCTACTATACCCCCCTTTTACGTACCTTTGTACCGCGTTCGGTCCTGATACTGAAGATTCCGCGAATCACGAACGTTCGCCAAGTTTGGCGCCTAGGCTTTCACCGTCTGCAGTCACTTTCGATACCCTCTGTGCACCAGTGCCACCTTGCGCCTTGGAGTGGTTTTGCTATAGTGAAACTCGCTAATGGATCATGATTCTCATCAGTGTGTTGTTCAAGTTTTAAGCACCCTGATTGTTCAGCATTTTGTTTTCCAAACCCTGAAAACCTCGTGTTTTTAAATGGACAACACTGAAAATCGGTGTTTTACTCCTAGGGACACTGAGTGCTCAGGGTACCCAAACACCAATCTGAGGCCCATTTGGGGGTGCACTATTACGGGACAACCATATTGCACACGGATGGACTACTTCGGGTTAATTTTTGTTAAAATCCTAAACAGGACTTAGCCAGAGATCGGCTCAGGGCTGTTCGCAGATAGAGTTGCAGCGTATGTTGTGACCTCAGGTCAGATTGAATGTTCAATGGCGGAGATATTTAAAGCATACATACTTCGTGTTTATATAGGGAATACCGAAGGAAAACGAAAAGGCCCGACTACCCATATACTCTAAGGGGTACATTCCCTTATTGCAGCGAAATTCAACAGTGCGGCGTGGGACCCTGTTTCAAAACTGTTCCCGCCTTTTTCATTTCAAATGGTTCTGCTTACATCGGTTGGTCTGACAGTTGCTGGTGTTGCGTTGATACTCTGACTCGGTAAGGTTAGCTCCTATAGCGTAGAGAAGTGTTTCTTATCTGAACAAAAATTTTATACATAATGGGCCGATAACACTGATGTACGCGCTATTCACTGGTGATAAGTCCGATGTTTATTTGTTTGATGGACGGTCTCAAGGACGTGTGTCGGGTTTCACGAAGAACCAGGGCTCAAGTACATGCACAGATTCACGAAACCTACCGTACGCTCGACAGTAAGAGGAAAGCACGAACGTGGGTCATTCGCAATAGCAACGAACACTCCATCGATGCACTTAGGCAGCTCCCAGTGACAACTCCGTGCCATTCACAACATCATAGCATCATGTCTGGCGTGGGCCCTGTAAAAAATGTAAACAACGGAATGGGTTGGATTGAGCAGAAAATGTCAAACCATATATTTGCATGGTACATTAATATAGTTTTATAGGCTAGATAGGGTTAGTTCAAAGTGAGAATAACACTTTCTACCCTAGTGCAATTCTTCTCAATACTCGACATGGTATCGAGCTAGGTAGGTTAGCTTAGCTTCTGCTGCGCCTAGCTCGAACCTAGCCTGAATCTAGCATGCTTCCTCCCCATTTTGTCGTGAACAACCAAATGGACCAACAACCCGGTCGGACCAACTGGCTTGTTGGTCCAACAACCCGGTAGGACCAACTAGTCACTAGGTCCATAAACCTGGTTGGACCAATTGGCTGTCAGAATCCCAGTCACTAACCACTGGGATAAAAGGGCTTGTTTGTGTAGCGGGTGAGTGCGCCCATAACCCCCCAGGCCGCCATGCCTGTAACCCTTCCCTAGGATCAATCGGGGATCACCAGTGGACCTCTGACACCCCCCCGCACTGGGATGCCCGAGGTGCACACACCGGGATTCGAACTCGAGACCTTCGCTCTGATACCATGTCAGAATCCCAGCCACTAACCACTGGGATAAAAGGGCTTGTTTGTGTAGCGGGTGAGTGCGCCCATAACCCCCCAGGCCGCCATGCCTGTAACCCTTCCCTAGGATCAATCGGGGATCACCAGTGGACCTCTGACATTGGCTTGTTAGTCCAACAACCCAGTTGGACCAAATGGCTTGTTGGTCCAATAACCTGGAAGCACCAACTGGTTAGGAGGTCCAACTACCAGGTTGGACCAATTGGCTTGTTGGTCCAACAACCCGGTAGGACCAACTGGTCAGTAGGTCCAACAACCAGGTTGGACCAACTGACTTGTTGCTCCAACAACCCGGTTGGATCAAGTGGCTTGCTGGTCTAACAACCCAGTAGGACCAACTGGTTTGTAGGTCCAACAATCCGGTTGGACCAACCTAACTTGTTGGTCCAACAACCTGGTTGGACCAACTAGGTTGTTGGTCCAACAACTTCGTAGGACCAACTGGTTAGTGGGTCCAACAACTCGGTTGGACCAGCTGGCATATTGGTCCAACAACCCGGTTGGACCAATTGTCTTGCTGGTCCAACAACCCGGTAGGGCCAACTGGTCGGTAGGTCCAACAATCCGGTTGGACCAACCTGGCTTGTTGGTCCAACTACCCGGTTGGATCCGGTAGGACCAACTGGTCCGTAGCTCCAACAACCCGGTTGGACCAACCTGGCTTGTTGGTCCAACAACCAGGTTGGGCCATTTGGCTTGTTGGTCCAACAACCCGGTAAAACCAACTGGTTAGTAGGTGCAACAACCCGGTTGGACCAGCTAGCTTGTTGGTCATGTTGGTGCAACCCTACGGTTTGCACTCCGCTTGTTGTCCGTGTGCGTACATGCGTGTGTGTATGGAATGGTATGAGTGCATGAGATAAATATATACTTCATTCTTATAGTCGTGTGTGCATGATGGGTCATGATCTCGAGTGTGTGTGTGTGTGTCGAGTCAATAGCGAGTTATCGCTAGTCACGTGTTACGCGGTTTCTATTTCGTCGTTTGTGTGTCTCGCGCGGTTTCTATTTTGTCATGTGTCGAACGTTTGGCATGTTGCAGGTGTGTGCAGCAAACCATCACGAACTCAAGGATGAGTTTGTGATGAAGAACCAAAGCCTTGGTTTTAAGCTTTAGGTGATTTCAAAGCTCACCAAAAGAGTACACTTCAAGATAGAGAAAATTGTTACAGTACTTTGTGTAGTGTAACATTTCACTTGGTGTAGGCCCTTGTGAAGGGTAGTTTCGAGACCCTTCTTGGTTGGGGACAGTGTGGCACTGTTCCACATCACTGTACCTCGGCTCTTGGGGTTTGTAGGAGCTCGGAATCATTCCCAACTCGTAACTCGTGCTAACTCTTCCTATTGTGTGTTCTATGTCTATGTTCCTGCCATAGTGCCTTTCGTTCAAACTAACGTTGTGTCATCATTTCTTAATGAAATCATGCGATTTAAATTGTCCATTATAGAAGACGTTAGGACGCTCCAGATATAAGTTGAATCTTGTTATTTGAAGCAGTAACCAGATCGCTATGAACGTTTGAAGCCGCTGTGCAGAAATCCGACTATGCACTCTATCTTTCGTTTTAGGCACATTGAAGCCTATTGTGACTATAACAAGTGGTATCAGAGCGCCTTGGAGCAGCTACGACAATGGCTGGACCTGAAAGAAGGGGCGACAGAGGTGCTGGAGGCACTGGAGGACCCCAAGCACCGTGATTCAGCCGTGGCACTCGTGCAACCTACTCTTGGACCTTAAAGGGTTAAACCAAGAGTGTTCGGGCTTGACAAGTTCAACGGCGACAACTTTGCTGAATGGTCCTTTAGAATGGAGAACATGTTTGGCCACATTGACCAGCTGGAGGTGATGGAAGGAACAGAGAAGTGCCCCGAGAACGATCCGGAGAAAAGCCCATGGGTGCGGAAGGCTACCATCTACTCGGGCAAGCATTGGGGAGCAGCCAGATCCGTCACATCAAGCCATTCCTTTTTTTTTTTTTTTTTTTTTTGAATGCTATTACACTATAGCAGTGCATACATTCTCAGTCGTAACTGATAACTGGAGTGGGCAAACCCTGGCTACACCTTAGTGTTACCGGTGCCCCCCTCCTGCGGACCTTCAAAGGGGGCGGTCTGATCGTCCTGGGGTTGCACCAAATGGACAAGAACTCATCGTTCCACGTGGCAGTGTCACCTGGTACATTGAGCCGAGCCACAGCGGCTCTCTCATCCGCGCCCAGATCCCGCCACGGGTCCTTCCCCTGCTTTGCTGTACCCCTCTTCCGTGCCTTGCGCGTCATCTCCGTGCGATAGATTCGTGCATGTAGTACAAAATCCCGGATTTCCCCCCTCGCCACCTTCTTCCGCTGAAACGCCTCCCCTCTCCACACCATGCCGCACCTCGCCAGCCAGATGTGGCGGAAAGTCGTTGCCACCAGCGTCGTTGCTGGAAACCCCGACCGTGTTCCACCTTCTCCGAACAGTACGTCCCCCAACGAGGCTGGAGTGTTCGATTGGTCCAAGAGCCGCAGTAACCTCAGCAGCGCGTCGATTACTGGCTGTACCACTGGGCAGTCAAACATGCAGTGCTCCAGGGTTTCATGCTCACCGTAGTGTGAGAAATTCGCCCTATTCCCCAGAAACCTTAGCCTGCCGCCCACTTGGAGGTTCAAACTGTGCATCCTTAGTATCACGTCTCTTGCCGTGCTGGGGATTGTTGTTGCTTCCCTCTTGCTTTCCACCTTCCTCCAGTCTATCTTCCGCCCCCACCTTTCCTCCCATTCATTCCTCTTCCTCGAGGTCGTCGTGGGTCCCGTTAACTCCCGTCTTATCGCTTTAACCTTTGCCGGCGTGCCATCTTCTTCTAGCAGCTTTGACTGTCTCAGCTTCGTCACCGGCGCGCCCATCACCCCCAGTACTCTGCCTCCCTTGGTGACCACCGGCTCCACACTTGTCACCCTGAAGAGCGCCGTGATCGGCCGCTCCCTTTTCTGCAGCCTCGCTCCCTCCGTTTCCCTCAGGCTCGTCACCGCCACTTTCCCGTCTGTTACCCCGTTCACCTCCCAGTACAGGTAGTCTTCTGTCCTGGGGAGGTACGTCCTCACTGTTTTTGCACCTTCTACCACTTTTGTCACTGTTTTGCTCGCCGCTAGTAGCACCTTCCACTCATTCGGCGTTGCCGCATATGCCATCAGCGCCCACCTTGCCGCCGCTACGCTCCCCAGCTCCGTCGTGAGAGTCTCTTTACTCTTAATCCTCCGTTCTCCTCCCGGCCCCTCCTCGATCAGATCCTCGAGTTTTGCCGTGTGAATTTTCTCCGTCCCCTGCTGGTTCCCATACGGGCTTTTCCCTCTGAACATGACGCGGCGGTTGAAACACAGCTTCTCCTGACTGGCCTCCCACGTGTTCCCCGGCCCCGGAACATCCGCGTATGGAGACTCCCAGAAAGCCTCGACCGCTGCCTTCCACCGTTGGCTCCCTCCTGGCCAGTGCTTCGCCGCTGACGGGTCAGCGAAAAAAGTCGCTTCGCCTTGCGGCAGCGCCGCTGCCTTTTCTGCAAGCCACCGCTTGGTGCTTCCTCCCTCCGCAAGCATCTTCGCCACCATCCGGATTGCCATACTGTCAACTCTCGCCTTGGGGTCAACCAGACCTAGCCCCCCGTCCTTCTTGGGTAATCGGGCCAGCTCCCCGCTCCACAAAACGAAAAGCTTGTCCGCCGTGGCCTGCCCACTCGAGACGTAATTGTCACACGTTTTTTGTATCCGCTTCCACAACTCCTCCGGCGGTGGGTATACTTGCACCTGGAAAATGAAAATCGGCATTATGTATGCGTTGATCACCGTCACTCTTGCCGCCGTGAGGAGGTGATGGCTTTCCCATTTGACTAACTCCCCTTTCCCGCGCTCCCATGCCTTTTCCCAGGATGGTCCGCCGTCGCCGTCTGCTGAGATCCAGATGCCCAGAAGCCGCTCTGGCACTCCGTCCTCAGCCCATTTGAAATCCACCCCCTCCGCTGACTGCTTCCCTCTGTTCCTCCCCAGCGGGATCACCACCGACTTCCCTTTGTTTGTCCGTAGCCCCGACAGGTCCCCAAACCTTTCCAATACCTCCGCCGCTGATCTCAGCTGGTCCTCCCCTTTGAGTATTAGTGTCGTGTCGTCGGCATAGCCTACGTACGTAAGCTCTTCTCCCCCCTCCGGCTTCACCCCTAGCCCTTTCCTCCTGATTTCCAAGCAGAGCGGCTCCAGGGCGCACAAGAAGAGGTATGGGGCCAGAGGACATCCTTGTCGCACCCCCCTCTGCATCTCCACCTGGTCCCCGATCCAACCGTTTATCGCTATCGTCGTGCCGGAGCCTCGATGCAGCCCTTCCGTCCACTTCACGAACTGTTCCGGTGCCCCGAGCTTGCGGAGAGTTTCGAACAGGTACGGTCTCGCTATTGTGTCATACGCCTTCTGGAAATCGACCATGAGGAGGTACCAGTCTTTCCCTCCGTTCCCCGCCGCCTCAACCGCATCCGCCACCACCGACACCGCGTCCGCCAGGCACCTGCCCGGAATAAAGCCATGTTGTCCCTCCGAGATCACCAGGTGCAGTTCTTTCTTCAGCCTATTCGCCAGTAGTTTTGCCTGCACCTTGTACACCGTGTTCAGTAGCGTAATAGGTCTGTAATTCCCTAAGTGATCCTTCGGTCCCTTTTTGTGCAGTAAAACTGTGACCGCCGTAGTGATGGACTCCTCCAGGTTTGCGGACTCCTCAAATCTCTTCGCGAAATCCACCAGTGGGGCTCCCAGCAGGTTCCAATGTTCCTTGAACAGCTCCGGTGGAAGCCCGTCTCTCCTCGGCGACTTCCCCCTCGGTAAGCCTACCAATGCCTCCTTTACCTCCTCCGCCGTCCATGGGGCGCCGAGCCTGTTCGTCGCCTCCTCTGGTAATCGCTTCGCGACCTCTACCGCTCCATTCTCCTGCTGCCATGTCCCTGTCTGCTCGCTGAAAGCCTCCTTGAAATGCGCAGCTGCTGCCTTTAGCACCTCTTGCGAACCATAAAACCGCTCCCCCTTGTGTACCACCTCTTTGATCAGCGTCCTCTCCTTCCTTATCTTGACCTTGGCAGAGAGGTACGGCGACGGGATTTCACTGTGTAACTCCAGATCCATGCCCGCTAGTACCTGCATCCTTTCCCTTTCGCTCTCTTCGTACCCCTCCAACTGTGCCTCCTTCGCCAGCAGCCTCTCCTTCGTGCTTGCATCCGTGGGCCCCGCCATGACCAGGTGATTCAGCCTTGTCACCTCTGCCACCAGGTGTTTTTTCGTGGCCGTCGTTCTCTTCCACTCTTCCTTCTCATGCGCTCTCAGAGCTGCGCTCAACCGCGGTAGGTTGCTCTCCAGTGTCCGGCTTCTCCCCGTCGGACCCCCCATGATCCTCTTAATCACCTCTCTTACCCCCCTCCTGTTTGCTCGCGTTGCTTGAAACCTCCAGATCCCCGACCCGCATCTCTGCTCCGACCCAATCTTGAGGCTCACGTGTATGGCAAAGCGGTGGTCGGAGAGCTTCGGCGGCACCCTCACATGCTCCGCTGCCGTCAACTGTCCCAGGAGCGAGGTCGACACCAGTGCCCTGTCGATCCTGGTTTTCGTGCCCGACGGCCTCGCATGGAAGGTGAATTCTCGCAGCTCTGGGTTCAGCACCCTGAACGCGTCCTTAAGATCGTGCCCCGGCCATGCGTCCAGCAGTCTCTGATTCTCCTTATTCGATCCCGCCCCCGTTGACCTGTCCAGATCCGGGTCCGCCGTGATATTGAAGTCACCTACGAGCACCAGGTGTGACGCCGCTGCTTGTTCTGGGGCTTTCGTGAAAGGTAATAAATGCTCTGTGTGAAATTTCGTCCGACTGCCCGGTTGCGCTGGAAGATATGCCGCTACCAACCTGAACTCCGTCTCGCCTCCCTCTACTGTAACTCCCAGCAGCCGTCCTGTGGGATGAGCTGTGACATCTTTAAAACGGATGTGCCTCCAGAAGGAGACAATCGCCACCCCTCCTGCTCCCTTGTCTGTACTTGCCGTTGCACACGCCGTTGCTTTTAATTGAGTCCAGAAATTGTGGTCTTCTTTGATTCTCGTGTCAGACATCACCACTATGTCGGCCGCTTTCCTCATCCATGACCGGTGTTTGATTCTTTTGCCGTTGCTTCCGAGGCCATTCACGTTGACCCCACATATGGTTACACTTGAGTTTTTATCCATTGATAAACCTGAAACCGAGACCCTCGCATCCACGGGCTTTATTACACAGAGTATACACACATGTCCCTACTGCTGCTGTGCACCCCCTCCCTTGCCTCTGGTTCTTGCCTGCAGCTGACCCCTTGTATCCACACGCTGGCTTGGTGAGATCGTGTCCGTCCCGCTCTTGCCTTACATCCCGAACTCCTTCTTGACCGCTAGGAGGTTCATCTTCCCCCTGCTCTGACGTGTCGCCGAGCCCGCCTTGAGGCGCTCGGTGCAGTGCATGACCGAAGCCGCATGTTCCGCCGCCTTCGCGAAGCTTACACCATGTGCCTTCCCGCATCCCTCCTGAACACACAGCCACTCTTCCCGCGCGCCATTGGTGGAGGTGAAAACCATCGCCGGATCCTCCATAATGGCCCTTGTAGCTGAAGTCAGCTTCAGAGAGGCCGCTGCTCGGAGGGGAGGCAGTACAGAGATGAGCGGGGTCCCTCGCGGCCGCGACAACCTGAAAGGCATACATTGAGCAAGCATGTTTACCATTCATCTCGTGCACCCGCGCCAACGGTAGGTTCCACTTCGTGAAATTGTCCTGCCGCTCCGTCACATACTCGTCATGAAAGCACGACATGTGCATGTCGTTGCAGAAAACACAGGTGAGTGCGGGGAATGAGATGAGCAAAACTGTGCCGTGGATCTTATCCGTCACTCTGTGCCACCACTTATACTTATCCCCGGGGTGACGGTACACCAACCCCTTAATCTTATCCGTGTCCGACCCCGTCACCGGGTCCACCACCCTGTGGAAAGCCGAACCCTCCAGGAACGCCGTGCGCTTGCGCTTCACCAGAGTCACGGTCACCAAGCTCTTCCGGACCATCTCCGGCGTGATAACAGCCGGCACGTTCCTCAGCAGCACCTCAATGGCCTCCGGCTTCAGCGACCGCTCCTTCAGGTACTCTTGGCACTCCGGGTACTGCCAACCGAGTGTCAGCCTGAGGTTGTTCACCGTCACATGCTCCACCTTCCTGCTCCACATGAAATTGGCGTCTGTAGCGTGCATGAACACCACTTGAACCCGGCCGAAACGCTCCTTCGAGAGCCACACAGGCGCAAGCTTATGACACTTCGTTGTCTCCTTCACATTTTCCGTCAGATGATCCTCCCACAGCAGGAGGAGTCCGCGAATCGTATCCGTCGTACGCGGAACCTCCTCAATCCACTTGGCCGGGATGAGCAGCGTGATGGCGAACCCCGCTTGCAGCGCAATGTCATTGACCGCATCCGGATCATGACACTCATCTGGGTCGTCGCTGAGGTAACCGTCGTCAACCTCAGCTTTGTCGAGATAGTAAAGATAGTTAGGAGCCATAGCTAGGAGAACCCTAGCTAGGCAAGAGAGTTTAGGCGAAAGAGGGGTTGCACTAGTAAGAATGGGGATACAAATAGCAAACCCTAGAAGGGTTGTACTCGCTATAGAGCACCCCACTACAGGCTAGAGCATAATATTCTGACACACCCCCATAGCCAAAGTGGGGTGTAATCAGCAGAGCAAGCAAAGCAGTACAAGCTCAGGGTGGATCACAATGTCACCACACATTCTGAGCACAAGTTCAAGAAGCAATAGTTTAAAGTTCACAATTATGAGCAAAGCTAGTGGTAGTCACAACGGGCAAGTGAGGAGGAGGAAAGAGACTATGAGAGGAGAGGAGGTAGTGGGCGGCAGCTGAAGCTGCTGGCACACGGCGCAACTGGAGCAACTGGCACACGGGCAACTGGAGCAACTGGCACACTGGCAACTGGAGCAACTGGCACACGGGCTACTGGAGTAACTGGCTCCGCGGCTGAAAGTAGCGGCAGACGAGCAACGGACTCACGGGCGACTGGAGCAACGGGCTCACGGGCGACTGGCGCAACGGGCTCACGGGCGACTGGCGCAACGGTCTCACGGGCGACTGGAGCTGCTGGCTTCACGGCGGCCACCCCCTTCAACCTCCCCAAACTATCCCACTCCCCCTGACACACACCCGCTGCTACACCGCTAGCTCCACTCCCCCTTCACCCCCCCTTAGTACCACTCCAACGGCTCCAACAAGTCCACCCCCCCTCAGCGGCAGCTGCAGCACAGGGAGACGGAGGAGGAGGAGGAACAGGGAACGGCACTCAGTGGCTTCACCCCCATACCCCTCACCCCCAAACCCTAATTCAGGAGAACGGGCTGTAGGAGGGGTGGGGCGCCAGTAGAAGCACGGGGGACAGTGGGGAGGGCAGGGGCAGCGAGGAACGGGCCGCCCACGGGCCTGGCATAGCCGCCCGAACCGCGCGCAGGCGGCCCGAGCCGCGCGCGGGCCTGGCGCTTCCCGTACGGGCCGCGCGCGGGCCTGGCGCAGCCCGTACGGGCCGCACGCCGGCTGTACGGGCCGCGCGCAGGCCACGACGGGCGACGGGGGGCGACGCGCGGGTCCCCGTCGCCCGTCGCAGCGCCTCCCGGGGGCGACGCGTCGAGTGACGGGGCAGAAGCCCGCCGCGCGCCTCGGGGCGCACAGCGGGCAGAGAACCGCCGCGCGCCACGGGGCGCACGGCGGGCAGAAAACCGCCGCGCGCCTCGGGGCGCACGGCGGGAAGAAAAAACTGCCGCACGCCACGGGGCGTGCGGCACATAGAGTAGCAGCGGAAGTTGCAGCGGAAGCAACGAGGTGGTGAGCCCACCCACAGGATCGATCCAAAGGGATCGACCTGCTCTGATAGCATGTCGAGATAGTAAAGATAGTTAGGAGCCATAGCTAGGAGAACCCTAGCTAGGCAAGAGAGTTTAGGCGAAAGAGGGGTTGCACTAGTAAGAATGGGGATACAAATAGCAAACCCTAGAAGGGTTGTACTCGCTATAGAGCACCCCACTACAGGCTAGAGCATAATATTCTGACAAGCTTCCTTGACCGCTTCCTTCCCCTTGTCTTTAGCATCAGGCAAAGTCGCCTGATTCGCAGTCACTGACACCTCCTTGCTCTTCCCTTCTTCTGGCAGATCGTGGATCTTGAGCGCCGACGTCCTTGTCGACAGCTCGTTAACTACTTTTGCACCAAAGGGCCCCTGGACTCCGCCAAAGAGGGTCTTGGGCGTGACAGGCTCCGAGCCCTGCTTGTTGCCGACACCTCCAGCGAGAGCAGCAGCCGACACATTCGCACCAGGGGGAGCCATCGTGTGATGATGAAACACCAAGGGATGCCAGGGAAAACCTGAAGATGAAAAAAGCATGAACACGGGACGCTCCCACTCTGAGTCATGTCTGTCTTTGAAAACGCTGAGGTATAAATAGTCCAGGAAAACCCTCCGTATCGCCTTTAGCGGCTCATTGCTCCAAACAGAAACCTGAAGAATCCCTTGAGCCTTGGTAGCTGCTCTCGCTGCAAAATCCGAGTTAGCTCGCGCCTTGACACTGCCTGACAATAGGCCATCGATAATAATGTTCGCTGTTTGAACACAAAAAGTGTATCGTTGGCTTCCTAAAGTCGCCGTGATCACAGTTCTAGGCTTAAATGCGCTAACTGATAAGAAATTGATAAACATTGAGAGCTCCGAAGTCCCTGGATTCGGCCATTGCGGCCTTGGAGTTGGTTTCATGTTTGTATTCGCATACCCTTCAGCAGAGATCTTTCGTCAAGCCATTCCAGCGTGAACCAGAGAAGGGACCAAAGGCATGGGCTGCTCTCAAGGGTGTACACGCTCCTGCAACAGCGGCGGTAGCTGTGGTGTTGGAACGGCAAATGGCGACGCTACGAAGATGAACCCGTGGAGGGAGGGTTGCAAAAACTCTTCGACTTGTTGACGCGGCTTGAAGGAGCTGATTTGAGCTACAGTGAGCTCCAGAAGAAGACCAAGTTGCTGGCCCTGCTCCTGAATCGTGGTCCTCGCTTATCATCAACTTGAATCGCGACTTGCCCCGCCTCTCGCTTGAAGACGTGAAGCGAGCGATCCTTCAAGAGGACTTCCGCCGCCGTGAGTTGGCGAGTGCGGATGGCGCTGGGGCAGCGAGCGTCGGCCGTGGATATGGCCGAGGAAGAGGCAGAGGACGAGAGGGAAAATGGTTTGGAGGCAGCAAGTTCAACGGAGGAGGCTGAAGTGGCGGATACGGCAGCGACGACAAGAGCTACGGACGTGGTCGCGGCTGATTCGACGGCGAGTGCCACTATTGCCACAAGAGCGGACACATGTGGCGCGATTGCTACAAACTCCCTGATGGTTGGACCCCTGCTCAAGGCCAAGAGGGTAGAGGAGCAGGAGGAGGGAGAGGAAGAGGCCGTGGAGGCCGTGGCGGTCGTGGAGGAGGTGCTGAAAACATGAAGAACGGAGATTATGACAAGAACTCGAGGGATGATCGGTACCCGGGCAAATTCTTCTTCACCGGCTGCACCAGAGAAGGATGAAGACTTTGAAGATCATGCAGCAGTGGTAAAGGTCACCCTACACCCCCTGGACTATTGGGTGATCGATAGCGGCGCTACCTATACCATGACACCTCGCACGAACTTGCTCACTGAACTCGAACCGCCACCAGTGAAGCATGTCACATCGGCTTTGGGGCAGCGAGCGGAGGTGAAAGGCATGGGCAAGGCCATGTTTAAGGGTGCTGATGGGAAGATGGTTGGCCCCAAAAATATGCTTTGGGTGCCCAGCCTTGCTGCGAACCTGATTTCCGTGCGGCGATTAGCAAAGACCGGCATGGACACGAAATCAAAGGGAGCCAGGACCTACAGTGCAAGGATTGGCGACCAGATTCTTTGGGACCTTCACGAGGATAGGGATGTCTACAACAAGATGTGGCAGATCCCTGTGGTCCCCATGCCTAAGGAGAGGCAAGTGGCAGCAAGTGTCAGCACCAAGGGTGAAGCGGCTGGTAGTGGCGATGGCGCGAACGGTCGCGCTAAGGAGAATGAGTCCAAGAAGAGCAATCTTGGAGGGACCAGCAAGCTCGGTGATCCTGAGGAGAGTGGTGCAGCAGCCAAGGAGCAGCACAAGGGTGAGGAGAACCCCGAGGCAGCAGCGGAGGAGGAGTACGGAGAGAGCATGTGGGGCGCTATTGCGTGCACGGCATTCTCCAATCCAACTTCGGCTACGGGGGAGTGTGATTGGCTCACCTTGCATCGGCGAATGGGGCATGTGGTCCTACCCACTTTGTAGCAGCTAGTAAAGGGAGAGATGGTTGCTGACATACATGTGAAGGGGGAGCC